GGGTGGGCAATATGCTAATGTTTCATGTTGACGTCAACATGAAACGGCTTCCCAGATAGCACACATACGTCTGCAAGATGTCTGTTAAAGATCACTTGATCTGGAAAGCATCTGCTGTGTATAAGATGTCAGTTTTAAATACATTCTAAACCATAAACATCTTAAAGACATCTAATAGACGTCTATTTGACATCTGATAGGAAACGTCCTATAGACGTATTGCAGATGAGCAAACACTCTAAAAAATACATTTTGGAGATGTACATGCAGACATCAAATAGACGTCTCCGTGATGTACGTGTGCTACCAGGGTTAGGATTCGTTTTAAAAACGACTCGTTTAAATGATTCAGAGACGACTCTTTCTTTTGAGAGACAATTATATTACTAAAATTAAAAACATATTATTTATTTAATTCCATTTCAGTTCTTTCAATGCTAATTAAAACTGCCGTACTGGTGCCTGAATATTTCATAACTACCATACCAAGCTACTTGACCCTACCACACTTCTGCTTTTGCCTTAAAATGTACTGATAACCACTATAGTAATATAGGTGGTACAACAGAAAGCATGAAAAAAACAAAACAATATAAATAAAATATAATTATATGCATTCCTGGGTGCATGCATACTTACAAACTGTTCCCAGTTACTAATTACAAATTACATGATGAAAATTGTTGTCAGTAATGTAATCTAGATTACTCATTTCAGGCAATGTATTCTGAGTATTTTTAGATTCGTTTTAATTTTAAACGGGATTATTGTATTTTTTAAAAAATCATAAAAATGTAAAATTAAACTCAATAATTTATTTTAAAATAAAACAAAATAAAACACTTGAACCCCCAAATATGAAATATTTTATTTGTCTACCTTCAGAGAACATGCAAATGTGTTGTTAAATTATTTTAATTATTAAACCTTAGGTGGACTTCTGTAAAAAAGTAGCTGTAATCTGATTATGAACATTTTAAAATGTAATAGAATCCATTTACAAGTACTACATTTTTGGAATCTGATTACGTAATCAAGATTACATATAATCAGTTGCTACCCATCACTGATCATATGTGATGTGTCATGCAGGGACTACACTTTCTACAGTTTTTAGGACGAAAAATTATAAATATAACAGTATTTTACATCAAAATTACATGCAATGTGATGTTAAACCATTTACAATGTGTCACTGAATGTGGAAACGTTAGTAAAAATTAACCAACTTATGTTTTTACTGTTGCACTTTGCCATCTGTTTTTTTTTTCTGCAGATAATTTTACAAAGTACCTCAATTCAGTATTGAAAGGCACACAACCCTGTAGTGCAGAAATCTCTCAGTTGATTCGGAGTGAACATTCACCCCAATCACTGCAGCATTAGATCCACAACTACAGTGTCAGGAGAATTATGCCTTTACAGTTCACTCGATAAATCAGTGAACAAGCCCAGGTGTCCATCCGTCATCCCATATCACGTCTCCTTATTCTACCCTACCTTCTCTATTTCCTTCACTCTGTCTCTTCGGGCCTCATCATGGAGGAAGAGGCCATCGGTTTTACAAACACCTCTGCTATTTGAGGCTGTGCGGCTCTCGCCCCCTCCTCTCGGTGCATGTCATCGACAAGACTGACAGCTAATAATGAAATACGAGCAAGTGATTTCTCGCCATCAGTCAGTGTGTAAGAGACCTAAGACTCCGTGGTGCGGCGGTGGAACAGATGTGCGGGAAGATTTGTTACAGCTTGTAACTTGTCCACTGCCTCGGGCCGCGAGCTCTGCGAGTCAGCATTCCCTCCCACAACCCCCTGCGAGCGAGCGATTTTTCTTTACAGAGCGCTGAACGTGTGGGCCAATGCTGTACTGACTGGCAGCGGCATAAGGGACCAGCTCCACCTCTGGGATTACATGCAACACGCGGAGAACCAGAGATGAGCACGATGAGTGGAACACAAATCCATTTAATTAAACAAGGCTACCACGTGCTCCGAGAACATACTGTATATATGAGTTACATAATTACCGTCATGGTTACTAGTATTATATTTTTGGTGCAGCATCCTACCATACCGCCATAGAAGATAGTATTCACTTAATGCCTGCACTGACAAAATGGTATAGAAATGCTGAAAATGTCACATTCAGAATGTGAAATAACTGCATGAAATAAAAAAGTGGCATCTGCAAACAAATGCTGATTCATCTTCATTGGTCCCACTGCTGGTCTGACCATCTGAAAGCTGGTTTGATGATGGCCCAAAATAGTTTTCCAGGTGAAAATGTTGCAGTAATATACACTTTATTTCAGTATGCTTCCATAACATACTGAAAGTGCTCCATTTCTGCGCATTAATTTTCTACTTAATATGCTAAATATTATTCCTTCTTAAGATAATCTTAAAAACATCTTAAGAAGTATACTCAAATGTGCTATTTTGTGACACCATGAATATGAACTAAAATGTGCATTTAACATACTTTCTCTCTCTATATAAATATAAACAATAGTTACCACTTGTAGTACAATTGAAACCATCTTGCATGAACTTAAATATACATAGAATATATACATAGAAAATACAATAATCAATGATTCAAAATATAAGATGAATATGTAATGAATATATACAAAACGTATTTATAATGTATTGCCCCCACATATTTTTATAGATTAAATAATTCATTTAAAATGTATTGTAATTATGTTAACATTCTCTTTATATGATATACTTAACTGCATGTTTATGGTGTCCTTAAATAATACAATCAAGTACACTATTACTATGTCATTAGTAGCACTTTTTTCCACATTAAAAATATAGCACTTCAAGTACTTTATGATAAAAGTATACTTACTATTAAACTGTGAATTTTGGTACACTTCTACACACATGAATGAATAATCCAATCATGTGCTATTAGTGCATTTATAGTTGCCTAAGCACAGTAACATTTACCCCCGGTTTCACAGACAAGGCTTAAGCTAGTCCCAGACTAAAATGCATGTTTGAGCTGTCTCAACTGGAAATATCTTGCTCTGACATATATTAAAATATCCCATTGAAAATGTTCTGTGTCAAGATGCACACCTGTAACGTTTTCTTCTAAGGTATTTTTGTAAAAGCTGCTTAAATATCTAAACTAAGGCCAAGTCCTGGCTTAAGTTAAGCCCCGTCTGTGAAACTGGGTCATAGGGTTTTACTTAAGTAATACATTTCTATGTATTTTTCATGAAAATCCAAATAGAACTAGTGATATTAACATTTTACTAAAGTGCCCCTATTATGGGAGTCCCCAACAACAGGTTGACATGCATTCAAGGTCAAAAAACACTTTCATTTGTCTTATAATATACATTTATTTTTACCTTACTTGCTCAACGACTCCTAAATGATTCGCTCAACTATTAATTTTTCCAAACCCCTCCTTTGTGTGACGCTAATCTGCGGTGATTGGTCCGATTGGACTCATTTCCATTTCATCATGCCTGAAATGCCTGATAAAGCAGCGTTTGTGAGCGCAGTGCTGCTTTGTGTACAGCGTTACTGGGGAAACAGCTATTTTTACCTCTCCAGAAGCGGCACCTATTGGCAAAGAATGAAGTTGCATTTTCATTCAGACCAACTTGAAAATTGACTAATGGTCAAGTTTTCCCGGGTCTGCACGCGCAACAAGGGGGTGGGCAATATGCTAATGTTTCATGTTGACGTCAACATGAAACGGCTTCCCAGATAGCACACATACGTCTGCAAGATGTCTGTTAAAGATCACTTGATCTGGAAAGCATCTGCTGTGTATAAGATGTCAGTTTTAAATACATTCTAAACCATAAACATCTTAAAGACATCTAATAGACGTCTATTTGACATCTGATAGGAAACGTCCTATAGACGTATTGCAGATGAGCAAACACTCTAAAAAATACATTTTGGAGATGTACATGCAGACATCAAATAGACGTCTCCGTGATGTACGTGTGCTACCAGGGTTAGGATTCGTTTTAAAAACGACTCGTTTAAATGATTCAGAGACGACTCTTTCTTTTGAGAGACAATAACTTTATACACGGTGCACTTTCAGATTTAAAACTTTGCAGGATGTTTTCATTCACTTAGAGCTGTGTTACACACTGCATGAAAGGTCATTTTCAAAAATCTATAATAGGGGCACTTTAAATAATTCTATTATTTATATCAAATATTATTTATTGAATAATAATATGTAATAAACAACAACAATATATAATTTTGACATAATGTTTAATCAAATTTTATTAAAAACATTGAATTATATATTTAAAACTTAAGATCACTCATGTATTCTGGTTTAGGGAAAATTACTTTTTACTTAATAGTTACACCCCATGACATTTTTAGAGACATTTAATTGAAAACTTTTTTGTTTTCCAAACAAAATTAACTGAAGTTGTAAAATGTCATGTGGTGAGACTCTAAACATAAATATCTAATATATATTTATACGTAATCAGGTTAAAGGAAAATTATTTTTTTACTTGATAGTTACACCCCATGACATTGTCATGTGATCTTTCAGTCATTCAGAAATTTTTCTTGAAAATGGTTTGAAAGTTTTCCAAACCAAGTTATTTCAGGGTGTAAAATGTCATGTGGTGTGACTCTACGATAACGTCCTGACATTTATGAATGATTAATTTACATTTCTATAAGTTTTACATGATGTTTAGTACATTTCTATGAAATATATTTCATTATATATATAAATATATTTATCTATTTATAACGTAAGATCACTCACATGCATATAGGTTTAAGGAAGATTACTTCTTACTTGATAGTTACACCACATGACTTTTTCATGTGGTCATTCAGTCATTCAATTGAATGTTTTCTTGAAAATGGTATGAAGGTTTTCCAAACCATATGAAACAAACATGAATACAAAAAATACATTTCAAAAAATTTGGCATATGCATTTAAAACTAGATTTTAAAACCCTTTTTCCTGGTGGCAGGTCTCCGAATGGTCTGGGCCTCACAGAGTGGCCTAAATTTGGGGCTGAGGCTGAGTATCTCAGCATTGGACTGGAGCAAAAACCTAGTAAAGACCTGAAGGGAAAACACTTCACTTTCATGACTCAAACTCTTCCGCGGATAATAAAAGAGCGAAAGGAAGGCAAGTTCAGAATCAGCATTGTTTCACTAAGATTCCCTGCATGAAACTAAGAATTGTTACACATTTGTTTCTGACAGGACCTCTAGTTCACACCAAACTAGGAAGTTTAAGAGGTGCATTCATGACTGCGAAGGGCAAGGAAACTGTCATCAGTAGCTATTTTGGTGTACCGTTTGCAAAGCCTCCCATGGGTCTGTTGAGACTAGCTCCACCACAACCTGCAGAGGCTTGGCAAGGAGTGAGAGATGCTACAAAACAGCCCCTCATGTGAGAATAAAGCAAAACTAATTAAAAAAAAATCATCAGGCTTGTTCATATGGGAAAAAAATGACACTTTGTGTTCCTTTATCCCAGGTGTCTACAGGCAAGGGATTTGCTTTTGGACCTGTTAGCTAATGTGTCTATGAATGTGGAGGTTCCTGAAGTATCTGAGGACTGTCTTTACCTCAACATTTACACTCCTTCTAAACCTGGAGACAACAGCAAGTTACCTGTAAGTCTTTGTCCCTTAAAATATAAGGTCATTTGGCCGGCTAATTCAGGTGTAAAATGTCATGTGGTGCGACTCTGAAAAATTCATGACTTTAATGAATTCATGATTTTTATTATATACTTTTTTCATGATATTTAATAACATTTTATGAAAAATATATTTCAAACTTGGGATCACTCACATGCATTCAGGTTTATCTGATAGTTACACCACATTACATTTTTAGTGTCATTTAATTGAAAATTGTCTTGATAATTTTTTTTTTAAGTCGTGTGGTGTGACTCTCCAAACATCCTGACATTTATCAATTAATAATTTATATAATTTTGACATAATGTTTAATCAAATTTTATTAAAAACATTGAATTATATATTTAAAACTTAAGATCACTCATGTATTCTGGTTTAGGGAAAATTACTTTTTACTTAATAGTTACACCCCATGACATTTTTAGAGACATTTAATTGAAAACTTTTTTGTTTTCCAAACAAAATTAACTGAAGTTGTAAAATGTCATGTGGTGAGACTCTAAACATAAATATCTAATATATATTTATACGTAATCAGGTTAAAGGAAAATTATTTTTTTACTTGATAGTTACACCCCATGACATTTTCATGTGATCTTTCAGTCATTCAGAAATTTTTCTTGAAAATGGTTTGAAAGTTTTCCAAACCAAGTTATTTCAGGGTGTAAAATGTCATGTGGTGTGACTCTACGATAACGTCCTGACATTTATGAATTATTAATTTACATTTCTATAAGTTTTACATGATGTTTAGTACATTTCTATGAAATATATTTCATTATATATATAAATATATTTATCTATTTATAACGTAAGATCACTCACATGCATATAGGTTTAAGGAAGATTACTTCTTACTTGATAGTTACACCACATGACTTTTTCATGTGGTCATTCAGTCATTCAATTTAATGTTTTCTTGAAAATGGTATGAAGGTTTTCCAAACCATATGAAACAAACATGAATACAAAAAATACATTTCAAAAAATTTGGCATATGCATTTAAAACTAGATTTTAAAACCCTTTTTCCTGGTGGCAGGTCTCCGAATGGTCTGGGCCTCACAGAGTGGCCTAAATTTGGGGCTGAGGCTGAGTATCTCAGCATTGGACTGGAGCAAAAACCTAGTAAAGACCTGAAGGGAAAACACTTCACTTTCATGACTCAAACTCTTCCGCGGATAATAAAAGAGCGAAAGGAAGGCAAGTTCAGAATCCGCATTGTTTCACTAAGATTCCCTGCATGAAACTAAGAATTGTTACACATTTGTTTCTGACAGGACCTCTAGTTCACACCAAACTAGGAAGTTTAAGAGGTGCATTCATGACTGCGAAGGGCAAGGAAACTGTCATCAGTAGCTATTTTGGTGTACCGTTTGCAAAGCCTCCCATGGGTCTGTTGAGACTAGCTCCACCACAACCTGCAGAGGCTTGGCAAGGAGTGAGAGATGCTACAAAACAGCCCCTCATGTGAGAATAAAGCAAAACTAATTAAAAAAAAATCATCAGGCTTGTTCATATGGGAAAAAAATGACACTTTGTGTTCCTTTATCCCAGGTGTCTACAGGCAAGGGATTTGCTTTTGGACCTGTTAGCTAATGTGTCTATGAATGTGGAGGTTCCTGAAGTATCTGAGGACTGTCTTTACCTCAACATTTACACTCCTTCTAAACCTGGAGACAACAGCAAGTTACCTGTAAGTCTTTGGTCTGAATTTCATTGAGTTTTGCTCTATTATTATGCATGAATATATATGTTGGTTAACGTTTTTTTAACACATGATGTGCAATAGGTTATGGTTTGGATTCATGGTGGAGGTTTTTCTGCAGCCTCTGCTTCCATTTTTGACGGACTTGTTTTGGCTGCTTATCAAGACGTAGTTGTGGTCTTGATCCAGTATAGGCTTGGTCTGCTCGGGTTCTTCAGGTAAAAACATCTACAGCGTTTACAAACATCTACAACATTTTAAGCTTTGTGTAAGGAACACAGTAAATTTAAGTTATTCACCAAATATACTGATTATCATTTGTTCTGTTGTTTCTTCAACTATGGGTATTATCTTGTGGACTTTTAGGAAATAAAGTCACACTTCACACTCTCTAAGTGGTTTAATTTGCTCACTGACATTGTTCAACAGTGTTTTTGTCTGAAATAGTTATTTCCATCACATCTCAAATGATGATTTGTGCTTCATAACATTCTGTCACTTTCAAACCAAGCAGCTTTCTGATGGTCAACGTTGCAAATCCCTGTGGCCAACATGAATCTGTTGCTAAATCTACATGGGGAAATATTTCGTGAAATTCCACTCGCATGAATTCCTTTTAAAATGACTGAATTTTGGTCGTGGAAATTTGCTGAACAACTCTAAATGTGACCACACCATTAGGCATATAGAATAATTGTAGCCTGTTATATGATTAATCTCCATTTAGCACGGGAGATGAACATGCTCCAGGAAACTATGGTCTTCTGGATCAGGTTGCTGCTCTTCAGTGGGTTCAGGAGAACATCCACAGCTTCGGTGGAGATCCTGGATCTGTGACCATCTTTGGAGAGTCTGCCGGAGGAGTCAGTGTGTCTTTACTTGTAAGGATTCAAACACAAAGATTTAATCATGTAATGACTAGGAAATTATATTGATCTGGCTTTACTGATGGCTTTAAATAAAGATACACTTGTGTGTTTTAAAGATTTTCTCCACATCTTTAGGTTCTTTCTCCCTTATCCTCAAACTTGTTTCGTTATGCCATCGCAGAGAGCGGTACGGCAGCAATGGATGCTATAATGACTCCCAACCCTCTGCCAACAGCCCAAGTACATTTCCCAAATGCATTACAATTTCAAATTTACGATTTTTATTTTATTACCCTGTGACTTACTGTTTTTTAATTAAAATGTATCAACATCTTTCTGTAGTATGTTGGAAATGCATCTGGCTGTGATATTTCCAGCACAAAGAAGATTGTTGACTGTGTGATGCAGCTGACTGAAGAGGACATCTTGAAGATTGCTAGGGTTTGCATCACAACCATCCATTCATCCATCCATCCTTACACATGAAATGTTATATTTAATAGAGTTTTATTAATTATATGCATCTTTTACTTCTTGTAAAAACACTTGTAAGATCATGCTGTGAAGTATTGCATGAATATAAATAACACAGATAATTTATGTGCTAAATTTGTGTGCATATTTTTGAACAGGAACAACTAATGCTTCGTTTTGGAGTGACCATCGATGGCCAGTTCCTTCCAAAACCTGTAGAGGAGCTTCTTAAATTCCACGAGTTTAACAAAGTGCCTCTGATCAATGGAGTTACTGATGACGATGGTGGCTATACACTACCTAATGTAATGGAAAAGCTTATTTTTTACATGTTTTGCTGTGAAATGTAGTCATAGATTATATCTGAAAAATGAAATCTTTGAATGAGAGTAAAGTGAACATAATATATTCCAAAACTATTTTTTTCTGTAGATTCTTGGACCCCCAGAATGGACAGATGGGATGGACAGAGAGCAGATCATGCCATTTTTGCCTTTATTTAATCCTGATGTAAGACAGAACACAACTGATAGTTTATGCATCGTTTATCAAGATCAAACAATTTGATTTCAAACAAAGCAGTAGTAGGTGTATATATAAAGTGCATGGTAGAACAGTTCAAACCTATTAATTTCAAACACAAACTTAAAATTTAATTATCAGCCTTATTGTATATTACACAGAGCTCGGAATTTTAACTGAATTTTCATTTTATTTAGTTTAATTTCCCCCTATTTTATTTAAGAAACTGTGGAGTCCCCCAGGGTTTTGTTCTTGGAACTCTGCTGTTTTCGTTTTATATAACTTTTTAGTAATCAGGAAACGCTGAGTAAATTTTTCATTGCAGTTATGCAAATATATCCCACTGTATCTGTATCTCTATTACTTCTGAAGATCAGTAACCAAAACTTACCAGTTACTTGTTACACAATGAAAATCTCAGAAGTTTCAGGACATGACTGAAATACTGCTTTGGGGTACAAAAATTCTGATAACTTGTTTAGGGTAAATTGTATTATGTTGCTTCAAATGTTAATGTGAAATAATAAAAAAATACTCTATTAATTTAAATCTCATTCTTTTAGTTTCAGAATCAGGTGATTGCTGAGTTTGTTTTAAATGAGTATCTGGGCACATCCAGCGACAGGATCAAAATCCGAGAAGGTTTTCGAGAGATAATGGGGGACTTTTTTTTCAACATCCCAGCTCGCAAAGTATCGAATTACCACAGAGGTGAGAGTTTATTCTATTTATGCATCATTGTGCAATTATGCAAGTTTAATTATTACTATAATTATTATAATTATTCATTATAATTATAATTTTTACTATTAATTATTTATTTTTTCTCTTAATAGATGCTGGTGCACCAGTATACGTGTATGAATTCCAGCATCCTCCCAGTCTACTTAAAAAGATTCGACCCGATTTTGTTGGATGTGACCATGGAGATGATATTTTTTTTGTTCTGGGTTACTGCTTTGGAAGACATGTAAAACTGGAAGGTTTGTTACTATTCATCTATGAATGATGTGAAGGTTTAAAATATTAAACTGTAGTCTCAGTTTCTATTGCAAGGATTTTAACAGGAACTACCATCGAAGCAATGAAACAATGGGTAATAGCAATCAATCAACCTCTTTCTGCTTTATTCAGATAAAATCTCAGAGGAAGAGAATGAACTTTGTAAAACTGCCATGGCTTATTGGGGAAATTTTGCTCGCACTGGGTAAGTGATTACATCAGTGATAAAACAGTGCCTTCTAAGTTAGGGAAAAAATGTACCATTCATTTTAGGGCCAGATTTACTAACAGCTTGCACCAGCGCAAACTGTCTTTTGGTGTTAAAATAGCACTGTCAGGATTGACTAAAAACACGCAGTGAAGAATTAGCGCTGAAAAGGTGTGGACACAGTTATTTTTGTGCCTGACCTTTTTGAATTAGCATTTGTAGGAGTTTCCCTTTCAGACACTAAATTTATGGGAAGAGAGTATTAAAATGAATTACGCAACGTGATTTACTAACGTTTGCACTTGTCAAATTACTGGTATTTGCGCCATTACTTAACGCCCCAAAAAAGCATGTCTTAAAGCAGGCGGTAATTTGCACTGCTGTTAGTATATTGCGCTGGTCATTATGGAAATGATCTGGCTGCATTCTTTAATGTGTGCATTGTTAGTAAAAATTGTTAGTAAAAATCACCCGCAGAATTTCTAACGCAAATTTGCCGTTTAGTAAATCTGGCCCTTAATGTCACTTAATTATCAGCATTTTCTAATAAATTAGGAATAACGCCACTGATAATTCAAAATGTCCCTTTAAAATGATTTTCATAGACAACAACAACTTAAAAAATCCTAATAATGACCTTTAGCCTAAGGAATAACATTATACTATATACTGTATACTAAACTGTATACTTTTATATATGGCACTGGTCTGAGTCATTTTGATCTAAGAGGGATTAATACTAATTATAACATATATACTACTTCAAGTGCCGTTTTTGCGTTTTAATGTCTGTTTGTCATTGACGGCAGGTCTCCGAATGGTCCAGGCCTCACAAAATGGCCAGAATATGGAGATGAGGCTGAATATCTCGGCATTGGATTGGAACAGAAACCTGGCAAAAACTTCAAGGGAAAACACTTTAATTTCGTGACCCAAAAACTTCCACAGATAATAAAAGAATGGAAGGAAGGCAAGATACCCATTTCAGAATTGGTGTAAAATTAAGAAGTGTTTAATATTATTTTTTTAATTGAGAAATGTAAGTTAATTTGGATCTTTATGTATATTATTGGTCTTTTTGACAGGACCTCTAGTGCAAACAAAATTAGGATCTCTGAGAGGTGCCTTCCTGACTGTAAAGGGCAAGGGCACAATCGTCAATAGTTATCTAGGTGTACCGTTTGCCAAGCCCCCCGTGGGCCCCCTGAGACTGGCTCGGCCACAGCCTGCAGAGAAATGGGACGGAGTGAGAGATGCGACCAAACAGCCACCCATGTGAGAGGTCGCACAACCGCATATCAATTCAAACATCTTTAGTTAGACATTTCTATGATCTAATGGTGCTGTGATTTCTTTAGGTGCATCCAGGACAGGCAAGTTAGTGTAGTTGAACTAGGGTTTCTCGCTATGGATGTGGAGATTCCCGAGGTCTCAGAAGACTGCTTGTATCTCAACATCTACACTCCAGTCAAACCTGGCGAAGACGCCAAGCTACCAGTAAGTTCATCAACAACTTAAGTGAATGTCCTCATAGAAAATGTGTTTGAGAATGTTTCCTTGTGTTTTCTAGGTGATGGTTTGGATTCATGGTGGAGGACTTGCCATAGGTTCAGCTTCAGTGTACGACGGCTCCGTTCTGTCAGCGTATCAGGATGTGGTTGTGGTGCTTATTCAGTACAGATTGGGTCTGCTGGGATTCTTTAGGTAGGCTTCGTAAATTATTTCACATCTGTGGTTACCCTTGATCATGCCATTTTAATGAAGCAGAAAGATTAATGTTGATAATCATAATTAGATTCAAGTTCGATTCTTAAATGAATGATGCAGTGCATCTTAAAATCTGAAAAATAATTTTGGTACGATACATAATATTTTCATTATGGCAGTTCCATAGAGTCTCTTCATTTTACATATTATTATTATTATTATTATTATTACACCAGATGATTGATAATTATTCAAATCAATAATTATAAAATAATTTTAAAATAAATGACTAAATTATAATAAATAAATAAGAAAAAGCTTCTTACCTTGATTTGGTGGATTTTTAACAACTACAAGTAGGTACAATTGGTATTCTGTATAAGAAATTTTATTTGGATTTTTAATTAATTAAATTGGTTATTAGAACCTAAATTGGGTAGTAATATCTTTATTGAAATTTCATCGTCAAATCAATCTATTTTTTTTGGCATTTCGCCTTTATTACAATAGGATAGATCAGAGCTGACAGGAAGCGAAGTGGGAGCGAGAGAGGGTGGGATCGGGAAGGGTCCTCGATTCAGGATTCGAACTCGGGACGCCCGTAGCACAACGGCGCTGTATGTCGTCGCGCTGTTCACAAGGCTATCGGCGCCAACATGATCAAATAGTTTTATTTAGCTCTGTTTCAATAGCTGTAATGTAGTTAATTTTTTTGAAAGTGTAGGTTAACAGCAAAAAAAAAAAAAAGGAAAAAAATTCTTGACCTATTTTTTTGTAAATAAACATTCTACTCATTACGTATTAGTAATTCAAATAAAATTATGTAATCAATATATTGAATATTTATCATCACATTAATACATTAATACAGCAATACACATGCCAAAGCTAATGTGTGAACAGTGTCATTATATTAATGCAAATTAAATAAATTAAATTGCTTTATTATGTTTTTGTGCCATGTAAATATAAGGGATGCACTGGAAATATTTGGCTGAAATAGTTTTGGAGGGCCGAAATCATAGACGAAACAGTTATGAATTATTTACCAAAACTTTATTTTCGGTTTTTGATTACATTAAATTGATAAATTTTGGTTTCGGTGCTTCATTAAAAAAATCATTTTGGTGCATTACTTGTATGTTGTGAGTCAGTTTTTTTCTGTATTTAATTACAGATTAAGATGAAAGATTCCTTTTTTTTGTAGCACGGGAGATGAACGTGCGCCAGGAAACTATGGTCTTCTGGATCAGGTTGCAGCTCTTCAGTGGGTTCAGGAGAACATCCACAGCTTCGGTGGAGATCCTGGATCTGTGACCATCTTTGGAGAGTCTGCCGGAGGAATAAGTGTATCCACGCTGGTATGGGTCTTTATTTATAGCATAGTAACTCAGCCTTCTTTACTGTTAAATATTTGTTTTGAGTGATCAAGTCATTTCGGTGTCATTGTGTCTTCAAGATTCTTTCACCATTGGCTTCTGGTCTGTTTCATCGTGCCATTGCAGAAAGTGGGACGGCCTTGTGGGACGGTTTAGTGATGGGTAATCCTTTACTGAGGGCTCAGGTACCATTCTTCCTATATTTTCATCTTTCTAGTTGTATTGTGCAACTATTTTTAATAAAGTTCTCATGTCTTGATGGTCATTTCAGAACGCAGCCAAAATATGCAACTGTGACAGCAGCAGCTCATCAAAGATCGTCGACTGCATCATGCGCTGGTCTGAGGAAGAAGTTCTGGAATGTTCTAAACAGGTGTGACATTTTTCATAAAAATAAGCCATTAACAATTTAGCACAAGTACTTATTACAAAAATAATAAACGATGTGTGATGCTTTGTATTACAGGTGTTTATTTGACTGTTTATGATCAATTGCTTGTTGTATTCCTCATTTAGATAAAGCATGTGCTAAATTAATAAACGTAAATGTGATATATTTTAAAATAATATACTTAAAGGGATAGTTCACCCAAAAATGAAAATGTGATGTTTATCTGCTTACCCCCAGGGCATCCAAGATGTAGGTGACTTTGTTTCTTAAGTAGAACACAAATGAAGATTTTTAACTCAAACCGTTGCAGTCTGTCAGTCTTATAATGGAAGTGAATAGGAATCACGGCTTTGAGAATCATAAAACATACACAAACAAAACCAAATTAAACCCTGCGGCTCGTGACGATACATTGATGTGTAAAGACACGAAATGATCGGTCTGTGCAAGAAACGGAACGGTATTTAAATAATTTTTTACCTCTGATGCACTGCAATGTCTGAACTGTCTTGAGCGCATCCTCGACAGCCGGCGCGTGACGCGTCTTCTTCTTACTTTACGGCGAATGCAGACTTATAAGTACATTACCGCCACCTGTCTCTCAAATGGACCATTGACACTATCTACAATCTCAATTAGGAGTGTCAATGGTCCATTTGAGAGATAGGTGGCGGTAATGCACTTATAAGTCTGCAATCCACCGTAAAGCAAGAAGAAGAAGACGCGTCATGCGCCGGCTGAAGAAGAAGACGCGAACGCGCTCAGGACAGTTCGGACATTGCGGTGAATCAGAGGTAAAAATGATATAAATACTGTTCAGTTTCTTGCACAGACCGATTGTTTCATGTCTTTACACATCAATGTATCGTCACGAGCCGCAGGGTTTAATTTGGTTTTGTTTGTTTATGTTTTTTTTTTACTCTCAAAGCCGTGATTCCCATTCACTTCCATTATATGACTGACAGACTGCAACGGTTTGAGTTAAAAATCTTCGTTTGTGTTCTACTGAAGAAACAAAGTCACCTACATCTTGGATGCCCTGGAGGTAAGCAGATAAACATCACATTTTCATTTTTGGGTGAACTATCCCTTTAAGTATATTATTTTAAAATATATCACATTGATAAACATCAAATTTTCATTTTTGGGTGAACTATCCCTTTAAGTATGAACTGAATTAACTATGTTAATTACAATTAAATGAAAATGTTGTATGAAAATGCAATTAGCATATTTAAATGCCCTTTTATTTCATTAATATTATATTATCTGCAAGTATTTTTTTTTAAATGATTACTTTTACGTGCACATTCAATGCAATTAAGCACACTTATGTGGGATGATGCTTCAATATATATCATATATTATGTAATCATATAATATAAGTGATTTTAGAATATATGTACAATATAGCCTATATTTCATGTGATTGATATTAAAGGATGGTAACTGTGAGCATTGTTTCCACTATGTTTCTAGTTTGTGATGATGCACTTCAGTCTCGCTCTGGATTCTTATTTCCTTCCCAAACCTGTAGAGGATATCGTTCAGAAGCAAGAGTTCAGTAAAGTTCCTCTCATCACTGGAATTACTAATGATGAGTTTGGCTTTTTACTGCCCGCAGTGAGTAAAAATGATATTTATTACTATATTTAATATCACACTCCAAACTCGCTCGCTTAGAATCAAAGATGTTGTTTGACTGTCATTGAAACAAACCTTCTGTCTTCAAGATCGTATGAAGTCAACACACACATACAGAGATCTCAGACACATTTACAGCATATTCACATATTTGGTTTTATATTTTGATGCTAAGGTGGAATGTTATTTCTCCATAGTATTTTGCGGGTGAAGGATGGATTGGTGGGATGAATAAAGAGCAAGCCATAAAGGGCCTGACCCTCACGTATCCTGATGTAAGTCACAACTCAACACAATGCACATTTACATTACGTAGCTTACGTGTGTTTTTCTTTGAATCCTGTGTGCTTTGACTGTTACTCCCATCAGCCCAGGGATCGATGGATCATTGATCTGGTGGCGAACGAGTACCTGGGCGACACAAGAGATCCCATTCAAGTCCGAGACATTTACAGAGAGATGATGGGCGACGTGATGTTCAACATCCCTGCCCTCCAACTGGCAAAATACCACAGCGGTGAGATGCAGTCAATTATTCATTTATTCATATTGGACCATTGCAACTGTGTGGGAAGAAGGGTTTCATAATATTTAAGAAACAATTTTTTTTTAATTCTGATTATATTACGTAGTTTATTAAATTGAAATTTTAGCAGAAAATTTATTAGAAAGATATTAGAAAAAAACAGGTCTATTGTGCTTTTTTACATGATCGTTTAGCTCTTCAAAATCACAGTGAAATACTCTTGGGAGTTAAAGGCATAGTTCACCCAAAAATAAAAACGGGTGAACCGTTTTTATTTTTATTGATAAATGGGTTTTGGGTTTTATTGAACCCATTTACTCACCCTCATGTGACAACAGTTGACGGTAGCCATTGACTTCCATAGTATTTTTTCCATACTGTTGAAGTCAGTGGCTACCAGCAACTGCTTGATTACCAACATTCTTCAAAATGTCTTCCTTGTGTTCAACAGAAAGAAACTCATACAGGTTTGGAACAACACGAGTATGAGTAAATGATGGCAAATGATGAGTTTTCATTTTTGGGTGAACTATCCCTCATCACTTGTTTAAAGTGGTCCTATTATGCTCTTTTGCAAAGTCTTGGTTTTGTTTTGGGGGTGTACTGTAACAGGCTCTCATACTAGGTTGTTCGAAAAGCACATTATTTTTCACATATTTTACATTATTACAACACCTCTCTCCCCAGTCTGGCACGAACGGCTCGAATAGTTCCTGTATCAAATGAAGGCCCACCTTCTGAAATACGAAATGTGCTGTGATTGGTTAGCTGGGCCAGTGTGTGCTGTGATTGGCTGCACTCGGCGCCTGGTCGGGAAATATCATGCCCCTTACCATAGCCACCTGCGAGCTTCAGTGTAAATATTGTGTCAAAATCAAATCAATTTGAGCGCGATTTAAACCCGGATGATTGTAACCACTCTAAGTTCATCTGTCTTGGGAAAGCTAGCGTGTCTCCGACATGGTGATAACACTCGTTGTCTTCTCTAGTGCAGCTCAACCAGGTCTCGTCCCATTCGTCGATCTTTGTGGTATCACAAATCCCGGAAAATATGAATTGTAGTCCAAACGAGTCGTTCGTTGTAGTTTTATCTGTTTCATTAGGAATGTATGGATGACACAGAAAAAAAATTAAGAACTGTGATTCAACATAAGAATTTAATGAATTAACCTGAGAAAATCAAATAAGCACTGAGTGTATTTTGGTGCTAATGTTCAGATTTGATTGAAAATGTACAAATAATGTCTAAGCAACTAATGTTTTGCACTTAAAAACAAAAGTCGGACAACATTCACGGTTTTCCTCCATTTTATTGAGAACAAACGAAGGCTAAAGCTGCACACCTCCCTGAATTTGAATGCAACGTGTGCATACTAGTCATGAATTTGCGCTTTGACGTTTTCTAACTGGCAATTTGACATGGATGACAATAATTCAACTATTGACAATATTCAGATTTTTTATATTTTTTCCAAACAGCAGATTAACGTCAAATATAAACACCTGTATTGGATGCTTGACTCACTAATTTTGTGATATCACAAATCCCGGAAAATATGAATTGTAGTCCAAACGAGTCGTTCGTTGTAGTTTTTGAAAAGTGATTTCTGTTAAATAAAATATCTCCTTTTGAAGTGGACTTTGTAATTTTGCAGATCTTTTTTATGCTCAAACAGCAACATTACAGACTAACTAAAATTGAAAAAGTGACCCTTTAAAAGGTTTTCTGTTGTGATTGTAGCCTCAGGAGCGCCGGTTTACCTGTACGAGTTCCAGCATCCTCCCAGTATGATCCAGAAGAACAGGCCCAGCTTTGTTGGCGTCGACCATGCAGATGAACTCTTCTTTATCCAGGGCACCTGCTTCGCTAAAGCCCACCTCAAAGCAACCGGTAAGACTCATCGTTACAAACACATCCTTCACTGACACTGAACTATTCTGAAAAGGTTTTAAATAACCACTGAATCATCATTTAATGGTTCAATCTTTCAGCTCCTTTCACAAAGGAAGAGGAAGAGCTGTGCAGGACTGTGATGGGATACTGGGGCAACTTTGCACACACCGGGTAAAATATCGCTCCTCTTGTTGTTGTAGAAGAACAAAGTGTATTGTTTCAGCACTCTAATATGGCTGTTTTTGGATCGGCAGGTCTCCGAATGGTCCGGGTCTGACACACTGGCCTGAATATGAGGATGAGGCAGAGTATCTCGGCATTGGACTGGAACAGAAAACTGGGAAGAACCTGAAGAAGAAACACTACGCATTCATGACCAAGACGCTTCCAGATCGCATACGCCAAGGCAGAGAGAAAACAGAGCACTTAGAACTGTAAAAAAAAAAAAATCTGTTTCATTAGGAATGTATGGATGACACAGAAAAAAAATTAAGAACTGTGATTCAACATAAGAATTTAATGAATTAACCTGAGAAAATCAAATAAGCACTGAGTGTATTTTGGTGCTAATGTTCAGATTTGATTGAAAATGTACAAATAATGTCTAAGCAACTAATGTTTTGCACTTAAAAACAAAAGTCGGACAACATTCACGGTTTTCCTCCATTTTATTGAGAACAAACGAAGGCTAAAGCTGCACACCTCCCTGAATTTGAATGCAACGTGTGCATACTAGTCATGAATTTGCGCTTTGACGTTTTCTAACTGGCAATTTGACATGGATGACAATAATTCAACTATTGACAATATTCAGATTTTTTATATTTTTTCCAAACAGCAGATTAACGTCAAATATAAACACCTGTATTGGATGCTTGACTCACTAATGGAGCTGTTTTGCTACACATAAAATGATCACACTTACTGACAACTCGTTTCACATCCAATATAATTGCAAAATTAAAAATAAGGAAATTACAAATGTATAAATTACCGTTTTAGGCACAGTGCTTTGCTAAATTATTATTATAGAGAAATAATGGAGAGAAACTCCGACTTGAAGTCGACCTAAAAGCATCAGTGAATCATGACGATGAAAAAGGGGGTAAAACTTGATTTTATCCATTGGGAAGTGAGAAACGGAGTTATTAGTTGCACAAATGCCTTTAAATATGATTCAAATAGCTATGAGCCAATATAAACAGCTGGAATTACATCTTATTTGGAATAATATCAATAGCTGTAGGATATCAGTCCACGTAAACGGCCAATTCTATGAGAATATTACACTTAAAACAACAGGCGATATACTTAAATTAGTTCATCGAACATATATACAATCATCCCTAAAACAAAGCTGAAATATATTGATAAATGTTTAAATATTTTCAATGCATTCATTTACATATATTCACTTTACATTATACTGATTTTCAATTTTCAAATGGTAGTAATGCTGCAGTCAAATACAAAAGTATAGCCGGAGTAATTCTGCCTCTGATGAATGTCTCCGCTGCGTAGGGAAGAGCACTTGGAAGAGAGCTGCACAGCTAGAGGAACAGAATCACTATCACGTGAAAATGAGACGGTCGTCGTGGTCGTAAAATTTGTTGGCTAACCAATTAGCTATTCGCTTGGAAATTTAACAGTATGATAGATATAAATTCAAGGAAAAGTTTAGCCAAAAATGAACATTTGCTGAAAACTGACTCGCCCTCAGGCCATTCGAGACGGTCATGAGTTTGTTTCGTCATCAGAACAGATTTGAAGAAATGTAGCATTACATCGCTTCCTGTGAATGTGAATGGGTGCCGTCAGAATGTGAGTCCAAAACAGCTGATAATAATAATTATATTATCACAATAATCCACAAGTAATCCACACCACTCCAGTCCACCAGTTCACATCTGGTGAAGTGAAAAGCTGCATGTTTTTAAGAAACAAATCCATTATTAAGACGATTTAAACCATCAGCTGTTTGGACGCTCATTCTGACGGCACCCATTCACTGCAGAGGATCCATTGGTGAACAAGTGATGTAATGCTACATTTCTCTGTATCTGATGAAGAAACAAACTCTTCTACATCTTAAATGGCCTGAGGGTGAGTAAATGTTCAGCAAATGTTGGCTTTTTTAGTGTACATATTAATGGATGCATTATGGAGTGATAAAACTGACAACATTTGCAGTGAAAAAGCGGCTGGAAGTCATTCGTTTTCAGTGAGCGCTGGCGGAAAAAAATGGAAGCATTTCCAAATATGGTGTGGACTTCTTACAAATAAAGAAATAAACTGAATAAAATCATTTAAAAGCAACCGCAGGTGTTGCCGCATTGAGGACAAACGCTTCTAAGATTATTTCTAAAGCACAAAACCACAGGATCTCAGAGTCTGAAGATCAGAGGCACGCTCAGCTGAGTATACGGCCGAATTTTCACATTGTTGTCGTCTTCATCGCCATTTCCAGGTTACAAAAATAAATTAATTAAAAAGCTGATAAGAAAGGCCTAATATAATACAACTGTACGGACATGTGGCGTAAATACACCTGTGCGTGTGTGTATGTGTTATAGTGAGTGTGTGTGTGTGTGTGTATGTGTTATAGTGAGAGAGTGTGTGTGTATGTGTGTGTTATAGTGAGAGAGTGTGTGTGTGTGAGTGTATGTGTTATAGTGTGTGTGTGAGTGTATGTGTTATAGTGAGTATGTGTGTGTGTGTGTATGTGTTATAGTGAGTGTGTGTGTGTGTGTGTGTGTATGTGTTATAGTGAGTGTGTGTGTGTGTGTGTGTATGTTATAGTGAGAGAGTGTGTGTATGTGTTATAGTGAGAGTGTGTGTATGTTATAGTGAGTGTGAGTGTGTGTGTATGTGTTATAGTGAGAGTGTGTGTATGTTATAGTGTGTGTGTGAGTGTGTGTGTGTGTGTGTGTTATATTGAGAGTGTGTGCGTATGTGTAATAGTGAGTGTGTGTGTGTGTGTATGTGTTATAGTGAGAGTGTGTGTGTGTGTGAGTGTGTATGTGTTATAGTGAGTGTGTGCATGTGTTATAATGAGTGTGTGCGTGTGTGTATGTGTTATAGTGAGTGTGTGTGTATGTGTTATAGTGAGAGTGTGTGTGTGTGTGTGTGTTTGTGTTAGTGTGAGAGTGTGTGCGTGTTATAGTGAGAGTGTGTGCATGTGTGTATGTGTAATAGTGAGTGTGTGTGTGTGTGTATGTGTCATAGTGAGAGTGTGTGTGTGAGTATACGTGTGAGTGTGAGTGTTACAGTGAGAGTGTGTGTGTGTGTGTATGTGTTATAGTGAGAGTGTGTGTGTGTATGTGTGTTATAGTGAGAGTGTGTGAGTGTGTGTGTCAGCAGGGAGGTCCCTGACGGTGCAGAGCGTAATACCAGAGGATGTGCCTGATGAGAAAGCTAGTGTGAGGTTTGCTCTCAGGATGTCCATGACTGCATGTTGCGGAGCATGGCCTCGAAGCGCTCCAGGGTGGGGGCCTGAGCGTGGGACAGCTGGTCAGTCAGCCGACTGTACAGACTGAAGGACTTGAGCTCCAGCCAAATGAAGCCAAAGTGGTCTTCATCGAATAGCACGAACAGACCCGGCGTGCGCTCTGGACTCGTGAAGCCGTGGCCGGCGATCAGGCCTGTTCCATAAAAACTGAAACACAAAGAAAATCCATATTATAATTAAACAAACTAACACTTTATTTTTAGGAGTCCTTGTTACAGTGTAATTCTACATTTAAGTACTGAGTAATATGAATGAACTACATGTACTTACTATATGGTTAGGGTTAGGATTAGGGTTACTTGCATGTAATTATGCATAATTATTGTTATTATAATAGTAAGTACATGTAACGTGTTACAAGGACACCTTAAAATAAAGTGTTAGCTATTTTTTCATCCATTTAAAGAAAAATAAAAAATAATATATTTTGTATTATATTTTAAAGTGTACAGCACATTCCTTTTATATTCATATATATTTAATTATTTAGTTTTTTAAAGTTAGAATAATAAATTGTAAATTTAATGTGTAATTGGGTTTTAAGTAAAAAAAAAAAACTTAAATTATTTTCATGTCAATTTTATATTTTATTAGTTATACAGTGGGGCAAAAAAGTACAAAAAATAATGTATATAAACATTTAAAATAATTACAAGAAGTGTATTTAATATTTTTAAATTAATATATTATATATTTAATTCTAAGTTACATATAAATTATATACATACAAAAACTTAAAAAGTTCATTTAAAAAATGATGTCTATTTGATGTATTTTATATAAAATACAATGTAATAACTTTTAACATGTATTAGTGATGCAACGATACAATTTTTTTAGAACCGATCCGATACCAGCACAGTTTTTTTTTTTTTTTAAATCAATGTAGAATTTCTATACTTCTGTGTGTTCACCTGATTATCACTCTTGTGTGTATAAACACAATCTACTAAATATAGACAATTTCATTTTAATGAAAAATAACAAACGAAAAAAATATATAATCATAACCTATGACAAAAAATACTATTATAAACTAGGTCAGTGGATAATTCAGCAGTAAAAGTTATTCTAGAAAAATCATGGGTGCACAATTCTATAAAAAAATTTAACTAAACATTTACAGAAACAACATCATTTAGTGGGGAACAAATAAAAGATAATAATAAAAAAAAATGTTACAGTCTTGTGTATGCTCTTTGTATTGTTGTAAAATACATTAATGAAAAACAAGTAGCGCAAATGGCTGCAATATAACAAAGAGTGAAAAATTTAAGGGGGTCTGAATACTTTCTGTACCCACTGTATATATACACTATAAAATTAAAACACATTTATTTTAAATGCATAGCACAGTAATGAAGGCAGCAACATATGATTGATAGAACAGAACAAAAAAAGACTATTAATAATCTTCCATTGAGCAAAGTATAATACGAAAGGGTATGGCTCCAATACAGAGCGGCACAAAGCGCTTATGCGCTTGAAGCAACACGGAGTCATAAAAAAGGGAAGAGATAGCCTATTGATGCATAGTGTATTAAATCTGTGTGATATTTTATTGAGCCTTTTCTTTTTAACAGTATTAAATCTCAGTTATTGTGTGCTCTTGAAGAGTTTCATCGTCTTGACTGTCGTAACCGAACGCAACACGCAGTTTGAATGCTGAATGGAGGATGACAGACAGCCGCTGCGGACAGAAGAGTTTACATGAACTTGACTTAAATATTCATCTGTACCTCACATTAAACTATGGAAAACTTCAGAACACTTGAAATATAGTGCATGAAAACTTTATGGTGCTTTATAATGTTTTTGTGGCTTGACAATAACAGAATAGTACACGCACAATATCGTATTTGGATCGGTCTCGTCTGACCGATACCTGATCCGACAGAAAATGGCAATATCGGAGCCGATACCGATCTTGACTATCGGCTCGATGCATCCCTAGTAGGGATGTGCATCTCATGACTCAGGCCGATACGATACGCATCTCGATGCATAGCCAATGATACGATACATTAAAGATACATATGAAGCAGCTACCGATGCGATACGATTCACCCCTGTTACGGTGCACTGCGAACCGATTTCGATTCGATTCAACACAATGCGATTCGAGACAATACGATGCAATGGAAAAAATATGATCACTTTTAATGCCTCGAGGCCCGTTTCATAAAACAAGTTTACCAAATAAGCCAGGCTTATTTCAGTTAGTCTGGCTCATCGTCAAATGATTTGGTTCCATAAAGCAAATTTAACATAGATCAACTTCAGTCACTGTGGCAACGTATGCTGGGAAACTAACCTGGTCTAAAGCAGGCTAACTGTCAGACTAAGCTGAGTTCCTCTAAAAATGACTAATAGGAACCCTATTTTTTGAATTTTTTTTTTTTTTTTTTTTTTTACAGTTTCTAGCCAAGCAGAAAGGCTCTCTCTGGTTTTATGACAACTGTACCTTTGCAGAACAGATAGCAGAACATTGGAACATTACACGCTTATTGCGCTCCTATTCGATTGCGCGCCGTCTGTTTAGCGTGCATGCGCGCAGCAGGGCTTGTTCACTCGCGTAAGCCTCGCCCACTCCTGTTAGCAAAATGGACATATTTGCATGACTTTCTAACATTTACAGATGAAAAATATACCTGTGACA